AAAAAAAAGAAAATCAGAATTCGAATTATCATAAGCAGTACCTCAGGTGAAGCTGACAACTACAGATAAATCCTTAAACAATTCTAGCTTCTGTTGCTGTTTATGTACTAGAACTCGGAAACTGAAACTACTCGACAAACAGATCATGCAAAACTTTCAATGAGCAGACAGAGAAATAAACGAAAAGGAAAAGCAAACTTGTAAACTTAAGAGAAGTAAGAGAGGCCCAAAAAAAAAGAGACGAGAAGATCAGACTCAGAGAAGCACTTTTATGGGCAAAAAGGGTCGAAATAAGGAAAGAGAGAAATAGTGAGAATAATTGTCGCAAAAGGGGTTTCGCTTCCCATCCCTGTACACCAAAGACCTCACATGCCTCTTGCACGTATCCCTATATTATTATTATATGACCCAAAAAAATGAAAAAAACAAAAACAAAAACAAAAACCGAAGAAGAAGAAGAAGAAGAGAATTACTTGCTTCCCTTGAATTTATTTACTCATACACGCACAGATAAATATATATATATATCTTACCTTCAGTACTACTAATATTACTGCTGCTGCGACTCATCGGTGTCTGCCTTTTGGTTTCTGATGATGAGTGTTTTTACAGACTGGAAATGAGTTGGCAGCAACATAAACAACAAAAGCAGAATCAGAAAGCGGACTCTCAAAATCCCTTCTGATCAACACGTTTGGTGTTTGCTGATTCTTCTCTCCTACAATGCTCTTCTTGTCGCTGTGTCTCACTAAAGACACAAATTCTTAATATATGATAAGACCATAAATCAGACATGGAAGAATGGAAAAAATAAATAAAAATATCTTAAACTTCGAAGTACTGATTGAGAAAAAATAAAAATAAGGGAAAATAGTGATAAGGGTATTCATCCAATCCGTCTAATGCATATAATTCAATCTAATCTAACAATTTGAATTGGATTGAAAAAATTTTAAATTGATAACAGATTGAGATTTTTCCAATCCAAAGTTAAGGATTGAATTGCAAGATTGAAAAAATTTTAAATTGATAACAGATTGAGATTTTTCCAATCCAAAGTTAAGGATTGAATTGCAAAATAAGAATTTTTCAATCCACATAATCCATCAATCTGAAATATATATGTTACATATATTTTTTTATATATTATTACATATAAGTAACATATATAGAAAATTTACTTATTGATGTTTGTTTCCTACAATTGGTCTGAATCTTAGATTTTAATTAATTGTCAAAGACTTAAAATTTTATGTTTGATTATGTGTTGTCAAAGAATTAAATTTTGTGAAACTATTTTAATGTTATCATGTTTGTGTTTAATTTTGTTATTAATTTTATGAGAATATTGAAAAGAGACACGCTATAAGAGTCAATATTTAAATCCGTATAATTCAATCCGTAAAATCCGTTGTTTTTGGATTAGATTTATTGGATTAAGAGTCTTACAGTTTAGTAACGGATTGAAATTTTTTTAATCCACAATAATGAATTAAATTACAGATTGATCTCTAATCCGTGTAATCCGATCCGTGAACACCCTTAAATAGTTGTACATATATATCTTGAGAGTTGGAAAGAAGCGTTGGTCGTTTTGGGAAACACGTAGGAAGCGACCACGTTTCAAACTTCGGCTTTGTTTTGGAAGATAGATAATAATTGACCACAAATTATTACATGATCTTTTTTTTTTTTTTTTTTTTTTTTTTTTTTTTTTGCTCTAACTTCCAAAGAAGGGAATTATTATTGGTAATGAAATGTTTATTATTGGTTGCTAATTAGTAGGGGAGTTTTAGGAATGAGAAATAGGTGCCAACCCTACCCACGGTCCAACGAGCGTTAATAGATTGGGACAATGAGAACAAATTTAGTGTGGGGAAGGAAAGAGAACCTGTACCTTATATAACATGTTGAAAAAAGAAAATGAAATAAAACTTATCCCTAAAAAGATGGTGAATTAATGGACGTGACCAAATTTTATTTGACCAAATTAAACCTAACACGTTAGACTTAATCTCAATTGTAGGTTTTGGCTCACCTTTTTCAAATCTTCTAATTAGTATATACTCCTAATAATATTATGTCAAATCAATTAACATATTTAATTTAACATGATTTTTTAATTGACGGGATGTGATATTTTAATTGATATATATTTTTAATTAACACGACGAAATATAATTAGAAGGACGTGAACATAAACCGCACTAAGGGAAACACAAAGGTTGAATCCCTCAATGGTAGGGATACATAACACTTCACTTTTCTTAGGGACAAAAGAGTTAATAATGTATAATAAGCTCCCGAATAATCGTATGAAACCTATAAGTACTAATTAATTAGCTAAATATATCAGAAGATTAGTTCTTATTATCACTTCTCTCTCTCTCTCACTCTCAATGAAGATCTCATATAGGCTTTCACCATTAAAACTCACTTGATTAAAAACTGAAAAAGAAAAGTTTGTGACGTTTGGTAAAGGGATTCGTGCCCCGATTTGAATCATGGTTCATAGTTCGCTACAGTATTTTTTCTTATAATCACTCTCAATGAAGATCTCATATAGGCTTTCCCCATTAAAACTCACTTGATTAAAAACTGAAAAAGAAAAGTTTGTGACGTTTGGTAAAGGGATTCGTACCCCGATTTGAATCATGGTTCATAGTTCGCTACAGTATTTTTTCTTATAAAAAATACACGTAAATCGAAAATGGTTTTAATCTTATGATTATAATCCATGAACCAAACGTTTCCTAAAAACCAAAGTCGAATCATGATTCATGGTTCGTTACAGTATTTTTTTTCATAAAAAACACATGTAAATCAAAAATAATTCTAATCTCATCATTCTAATCCATTAACCAAATGGGTTTACATCTTCTTTTTGTTTAAACTTGAAATCAAGGTTGAAATAGAAAGGAGTGAGGATTTGGGGGTAGCCCCACATGTGGTAGGTCCCGGAGCCACGTGAAAACACTTTTGGTAATAATCTTATCGGTTCACGGCTGTTGGCGGCAGTCACATCACACACACCCTGTTGGCTAAGAACTCCCCTTTCCTGGTCGGTCCCACTCCCAACTCCGGTGGATCGATGTTAATATTAAAAATAAATAAATAAAAAAGGTGGTCCCCACTCACTTTGCGTTACCAATAGACATGAAAAGCATGGGATGATGGGGAATCATGCACTCGTCTTCGTTTTCATCCTTAGCTGACATATAATAAGATGTACATATCTGGGCTTATCTGAGTCTTCACATAGAAGAGGGATATGATTCTCGAGATTTCTCTATCTTTATTTTGGGCCTGAAATGCCTGTCCATGTAATCAATGGTATGCTTGCCCAGTTTGGTCTAAATGCCACCGAGTTCGCATTTGGGTTCGCCCTGCTCCACATACGTCTTTGGTAAGTGGAAATAAGATAAATATGGGTCCCGTTCATTTCACCGATTCGAGTTTAGAATTTGAGTTTTACTATAGTAAAAAGCTCTCAGAAACAGTCACATCTAACTTTTTTGCTACAGTAAAAAGCTCTCACACAAAATCACATCTTAACTCGAATTACAAACTCGAATCAGCGAAGTGAACGGCGCGCGATTTAGATTTTTTATTTTTTATTTTTTATTAATAATATTTTGAGTCAAATAATTATATTAGTAAAAAGATATTAATCAAGAATGAGGGGTCAAAACTCAAATCCATGCATTTTTAAGTGTAAATTTTATAATTTTCTCTTTTGTGGTGTGTGTCGTGGTTGTTGTGAGTGTTGCGTCACTTTTGTGGTTAATTAGCCTTTTCCACCATTGAGAATATTGATAATCAAAGGCCATGTTATTTCACACGTCTAAGAAAAAGAAAGCTAGAACTTAGAAGTGTTTCCATTTCGTATATATTGATGTGTTATATTACAAAGTCAAGAATGTAATCTAGTGGGGGTCATGTTATGTAAAGAAGATCAAAAGAAAATGTCAGTCCTTACTTTCACCTTATAAAAAAATAGTTTGACTTTCATTACCAATCCACCATTAAAACCAAAAGGGCCCAAGCGTTTGATTTTTTCTTTTTTCAAGTCTATTTCTTGTTTTCATAATGCAATCGCCAATCAGTCATTTTCTCATCCTAGTGCTAGATGTCACGTTTGATTTGTATTAATGAAGTACTAATGAATCAAATAATAATATAATTCTTTCTACTTCAATTAAATCTCCAAATATATTATTAGCTTATGTTTGTTTGTTTGTTTTTTTTTTTTTTTTTTTTTGTCTATTGGAACTCTATTATTTTGTCCTATACCGCCCATACTGGAATTATATGTAATTTGAGCATGGTGGAACTGTACGTAAATATGTTACAACTTACACATCATATTCCGTACGTATGTCTCCAACTACTAGGGTGAAAATCATGTTATATTCTCAAGTTTTGGATGTATAACTATATAGTTCAATTTTCACTCACCAGATGATGAAGAAACGATCTCAAACTTTGAAACTAAGTTTTGCAAGTTTTTAATTGGAAAAAGAATTCAACTATTTAAATTTTTATTTGTTATCCTACATTGCGGTAATCCAATTGCCTATGCATTATACTGCATCTAAAATAAATAAATAGAATTCCTAAAAAAACAAATAAATAGAATATACCATAGCTTTTTCCAACAAATTGCTTCCATCTTACTCGCATTAAACTTCGTAATATTCACAACAAACTTTCCTCAAGCAAATTTGAATAACAAAAGCCCCCTCAAAGACCAAAAAAAAAAAAAAAAAAAAAAGCATTTCCTTTCTCTCTCACTCACTCTAGGATCCGAATAACTCTCAAAATTACCCATCCTCCATTTTCCACCACCACAACACACTTGGTCGAAGTTGGAACTGATCAAACCACATGACCAAAACAACATGGGAGGAGGCATAAGCGCCAACGACAACAAAAAGCCACCAACGACATTACCCTCCTCCAACTCCAACTGACCGACCACCACCACCGCAGCCATCATGATGGGCTCCCGCCCTTCCCCGCCGCACAACACCAACGTCGTCGGCTTCCGCTGCACCCTCACCTGCTTCATCCTCGCCATTTGCGTCCTCTACATTCTCTACTCCTCCAACCTCCTCTTCCTCTCCCGCGATTCCTGTCCCCCCGCCACCACTCTCCTCGCCCCCCTCCAACACCTCCAAACAAACTCTTCTTCCTCATCTTCTTCATCGCAAGACTACAATATTCCCGAAGATTATACCGAAAATGAAGATCGAAAACTAGTAATGGTGCATGGCGAGCAGTCTGGCTCTGATACCAAGCTCAAACACATCGTTTTCGGCATAGCGGCATCGTCGAACCTGTGGGACAAGAGGAGAGAGTACATCAAGGCGTGGTGGAGGGCGGGAGAGACTAGAGGAGTGGTGTGGCTGGATAAAAAGGTGAGGATCAGAAGAGACGAGGGGCTTCCGGAGATTAGGATCTCCGGCGACACATCGAAATTCAAGTACACGAACCGGCAGGGGCGGAGATCGGCGCTGAGGATATCGAGGGTGGTGTCGGAGACGCTGAGGCTGGGAATGAAGGACGTGAGGTGGTTTGTCATGGGCGACGACGACACAGTTTTTGTAGTTGATAACTTGGTTAGGGTTTTGTCAAAGTATGATCATAACCAGTTTTATTATGTTGGGAGCTCGTCGGAGAGCCATGTTCAGAACATATACTTCTCGTACGGGATGGCTTACGGTGGCGGCGGGTTCGCGATAAGTTATCCGCTGGCGAAGGAGCTGGAGAAGATGCAGGACAGGTGCATTCAGAGGTATCCGGGGTTGTATGGGAGTGATGATCGCATGCAGGCTTGCATGGCCGAGCTCGGAGTTCCTCTTACTAAGGAAGCTGGATTTCATCAGGTAATTAATTATTAGTAGACCTAAATTATCTAAGCTCTTGAAAAATGAGAAACAACATCTAAGAGTTTTGATATGTGAATCTGTGATTAATTTAAAAATCAAGTCAGCAATTTTCTTTTTCTTTTTTTAAATACATAAGGGAAGATTGAATCTGCAATCATGAGTAACTACTAACGCATCGTCATTTAGAATGTATAGTATGTAGGTTATGAATTTATTACTTAGACTGCAAAATTTTGTATTTACAATATAATAAGGAATCCGTATTTGGTACTGGTATTTACAGTGCTCTTCATATTTAGTAAGAGAGTGGAATTAAAATATTTGGGAATTGGTTATTGTAAGATCATCTTTTTGTGAAAGAGGTGACATCTATTAATTAAGTATATTATTTTTCACGTTAAATATCAACATTTGCCTCACACAATACTTGGTATAGCAAAATGTGTTTATAACATTGAATAGTATTATAGTAGTACCATAAATGTGGCAGCATATCAACATTACCATATATTTCCAAATTTGTAGTGCTTAAAAGATTGTAACAATTTCAAATTTAAGCTCTTTAACTCCATTGCTTATCATGTAATTTGTTCAGTCATTTTACCTTCACTTGCTGCAATAGTACATGACAAATTAAGGCTCCAATCTTTTTAAGGATTAGAGTGAAAAACTTGAACTAAAATTCAAATTTTTGTGAAAGAAAACATTGTACTAAGGGCCTATTTAGTTTACGCGTTCAAACTAGTAATTCTTGATTCTAGCAATTTTAATTTTTTTGTGAAATGATAACATTGCAGCGAAATCAAAACTATGGGTTTAAACACATGAAACAAACGTGCCCTGAAAAGGTTGAATTCATGTGATTCAAAGTGTAAAATGAACCGGGAAAATGCCTAACTAATTCTTTTTTGTTTTCTTGTGGCAATAAAACATGCAATATTAGGGACGTAGCTAATTAAGGACTAGGGGGCTCAAGACCCCCCTCAATTTTTTTTTTTTGTTTTGTTTTCCTTTTTTACCTATATTTATATAAGAATATCTCTAAAAACAATTGTACAAAGCCCCCTCTGAACAATTAAAAATATAATTTTTTACCCCTTTAAATTTGTGTAGTAGTCATTAGCCTTTTCGATCATATAAATTTCTGGCTTCGTCACTGTGCAGTATGATGTCTACGGAGACCTATTAGGGCTTCTAGGAGCCCATCCCGTGACTCCATTGTTATCACTTCACCACATTGACGTGGTGGAACCATTATTCCCACGCACCACAAGAGTAAAAGCCCTGCAACGCCTATTCCAATCCGTCAAGCACGACTCAGCCAGCATAATGCAGCAATCCATCTGCTATGACAAGCGCCGGTCCTGGTCCATCTCCGTTTCGTGGGGCTACGCGGTTCAAATCCTAAGGGGAGTGCTTTCTCCAAGAGAGCTAGAGACGCCCACAAGAACTTTCCTCAATTGGTACCCCAGAGCCGACTACACTGCTTATGCCTTCAACACTAGGCCTGTCACCAAGCATCCTTGTCAGAAACCCTTTGTTTTCTACATGAACAACGTTCGATATGATCGATCGAAGAGACAAGTAGTCGGGGTTTATGCTCGGGACAGATCTCGTCACCCTTACTGCCGGTGGAAGATGGAATCGCCGGACAAGATTGATTCCATTGTGGTTTTGAAAAGGCCTGACCCTCTTCGTTGGCAAAAGGTAATTCATAAGGTGTTTGGAAAAAAAGGAATTCCCAGTTTACTGTCACATATTAAGAAGTACTGGCATAATATTTGTATCATACTAATGTATTCTTGAAATATGTATAGTTTTTTCTTAATCAAAATTGAAACAATTATACTAATTAAAACACTTGTGATCTTCTTTTTGTGCAGTCACCTAGGAGGGATTGTTGTAGAGTTCTGCCATCACATAAGAAGTCAACAATGTACTTGTGGGTGGGCAGTTGCAGGGGAGGTGAGATTATTGAATTGTAGCAGCAGCACAAATAGCGCAAAATATAGGACTATTTTTTTCTCTTGCGACGTGTGTTTTGTATGATTTTATCTCTTAAGACATACAGGAATAAAAACTCAATATTGCAAAAGGTATAACAAGTGGAATTCAACAAAAAAAAAAAAAAAAGAAGTCAAAGAAGAAGAAGTCAAAGAAGAAGTAAACCATTACTAATATGCTGTAATTTGCTGTATCCATCTGTGTATAAAGTTTGAAAAACAAGTATACTATATCTTCTACCGATTCTTGTTTATGTATCTGTCTCAATCTCTAGAAGTCTAAAAAGGATGTTGAAAGAAACAAAAATTCTCTGAGAAACCTACATTGATCATCTTATGGCGCAACTGATGGTTGATGATGATTCTTTTCGACTCGGCGGTTTGTCCTGGTGAGTTGCATTCTTGCCTGTGAAATTCTGAGGATCAACTGAGGTGACTGGGGGGAATGTAGCTTCTTTGAGAACAGCAATTTCCAGATGAGTATCGTTGAAAGGCAAATTTTCATGGTCGATTCGAGTTATAGCTACAACTCCTCCTTGCTTCATCTCCACGGTAACTGATATTTGTGTAAAGATATACAAATTTCAATCAGGAAATTAAAGACCAAAAAGAAGTCACTAATTAATATCTATTTCTTTAATTTTTTTTTTCCTTTTTTCAAGTCCCCTTATCCATATCATACGCCCCTTTTATAATTTATAGTACAAAGAAACCTAATAGAAATATCTAAGTTATTGATTTTTCTTTTTCTTCTTTTTCTTCGAGACTTGAGAAATTACTAAGCACCACTTCAAATGCAAATTTCAATCTAACAGCAAGTAAATTAGAGAACTATCAATTTAGAGAAGCAAATAAAGGTCAGAGAAGGGAAGGCTTAAGAGAAAAAAATAAATAAAAATAAAATCTCATAGTACTTGTATATCAAAATTGAAATAAGTTGGTTCAAGCTCATCTTAAATATGCATACTTACCAAATTATAAAACACATTTGATGACAATAATCTCAAGAATGTGCATCAATTCAAAAGCCAAAGTACGTGACATAAAATTATATCAGGAAAGAACAAACAGAAACGGGCGAATTACCACCCAAAAAAAAAGAGAGAATAAGACCAAGGGCCTAAAATGTTCGTATATGAATCAAGATTTCGTGAAAGAAAATTCATATTTATCTTACCAGTAAAACAGAGCCACCAGAAGACGAAAAGACAGAGAGGACAACCACGGGACCGGTGTCGTTGACCGACTTCTTGGCCGGCCGTTCTGAGGATGATTTCTCTTGATGAGTTATATTTTTGCCTGTGAAATTCTGAGTATCAACTGTGGTGACTGGGGATATTGTAGCTACTCTGACAACATCAATTTCCATGTGAGTACTATTGAAAGGCGAACTGTCGATTTGATTTATAGCTACAACTACGCCTTGCTTCATCTCCAGAATAACTGAAATTTGTGTAAACATATAAATTTTCAATTACAAAATTAAGAACCAAAAACAAGTCGCTAACAAGTTTCTTTTTTTTTTTTTTTTTTTAAAGTTTCCTTATCCACATGCTCTTTTTATATAGTACAAAGAAACCTAATAGATATATCAAATTGTTGTTTTTTTTTTTTTTTTTCTTCTTTTGAGACTTGAGAAATTAGTAAACACCTCTTAAAATGCAAATATCAATCTAAATCAGAAATCCTTAAATTTAAGAGAAGAAAATAAAGTTCAGAGAAGGGAAGAAACATAAGAGACAAATAATCCTCGTAGTACAAATATCAAAATTGGAAGTTGGTTCAACCACATCTTAAATTTCCATACATACATACCAAATTATAAAATAGAGTTGACGACAATAATCTCAAGAATGTGAAACGACAAGAAATGAAATTGAAACGACAGGAAAAGCAAGAAAGAACTAGGCCAATTACCACCAAGAAATTTAAAATGTGCGTCGAGGAATAAAGATTTTGGGAAGGGAAATATTTAGGGATATATCCATATTGTCTTACCTGGAAAATATGACCACCAGAGAGTGAAGAGGCAGAGCAGGAAAACAAAGGGAAATGCCAGCCGCGAGTGCGACCGCCAGATCTCCCTCTTTCTGATGCCGTAACGCCGGAAGTACACCGGAAGCCCGTCACAGCTATTGGAGCGCACCATCTTCTGTATCTCCGGTGGCTTCCTCATGACGTAGTCCCCCGCAGGAGGCAATTCGCGCCAAAAATTTATGTGGGTTGCTAATGGCACACAACTAGAGAGAGAGAGAGAGAGAGAGAGAGAGAGAGAGAGAGAGAGAGAAGAGGGTGGTGGGAAGGTGTGATGTTGAAGACAGAGAAGTTGGGTTGAGTTGAGCGGGGGAGTGTTACTGAAAGTCTGTTATGACATGAGTTCTTGGTTAGTTAGGATTTACTAACGGCTTTGTGCGGGAGGGCTATTCCGCACGTGCTGTCCACGTGACTCCAATGGCTTATAAATTGTCTGAATTTATGCAAACTTTTTTTTTTTTTTTGTGAAACTGATTATGCAAATGATTGATTATGACGCATTCAAAATAATATATATTGATTATGACTTATAAGAAGGGGGTTTTTTTTTAATATATATAGAGAGTATAGTATTGGGAAATACTGGATTAATGTGGATACAAATATTTATGTTATGTTTCATAGATCATGTTGTATTGGAATTGGAAACATAACTTGTAGCGTAAGCCATAAAAAAAACACTCAGCATTGTATTGTATTGTACGAGAAACCGAACCCTATTCTTTTGAGTCAAACTGCTAAATGTAACAATTTTTTGTTTCTTCTTTCAAGCTTAAATATCCATGTGACGATTGTTTATTGTTCAGCCCACACGTTGTGTAAGAGTGTAAGTATACAATTATTATTAACTTATCTCTTAAACTTTTGTGATGATTGGTAAATTAACACAATAGAAGGTTAAATATAAATATACATTGAGCATCACCAAAATCGAATCTATCCACTATCCTCTTTGACAAGAAGTTTGGGGCTTATTCTTTTGAGTGAAAAACTCAAAAAAAAGCAACTCGAGTTACAACTTTATTCGAGTTCATGTTCTTTTAAGTTTAAACTCGAGTTTAAACTCGAGTTCAAACTCGAGTTTAGGACTAAAACTCGAGTTCAAGTTTCCCCTTCAACTCGAGTTCAGAAACTCGAACTCAAATTAATGAACAGTATTTTTTCTATTCTTAAAAATGCTATAACTTTTTTGTTTTAATTCTGATTGAGATTATTTTTTTTCTATATGTTGACAACGAAAAGACGAATAAAACCCGACCCATATACCCTATTAAAATTTTTTATTAGCATTGAGTTTTTTATTAAAATACTATCTAAATACAAATTCAAGTTTTGACTCACTCAAACACAAACTCAAAAAGATTCTTATCTCAAACCATAACTCAAATGTACACAACCAAACACAAACTCAAGTTACAAGTATAAACTCAAGTTATAACTCAAATTCAACTTAAGAATTATACTCAAGTTAAACTCTAAAAGAACAAGCCCTTAGTTGTGTGGTTAGGTTTTTTTATGGTTGTTCCTGGTCCATCAAGTAAGTAAAAAAAAAAAAAAAAAAATCCCGAAACAAACAAGTTTTTTACAACACCCAGTTAACTCAACATAGTTATCCTAACAGGAGACTTTTCAGATTCAACGTACTTCCAATTTATTTAAACCTACTTGGCACAAGATCCTATTTTCATGTTCAATATTTCATCTCAATTAACACAAAAAATCAATCTTCGTGCTCACATAAAGACAATTTTGATGATAAGATCAGTTTTTTTTTTTTTTTTTTTTTTTTTTTTTTTAAGCAGATTAATTACACAATACTTCCCGTTATAATGCTGTCATATCATTTTGACGAGTGCAGTAAATGCAATATTAGAGACGGCCATTGCTACAGAAGTACTGTGTAGCACATACCATGGTGATATTGGCCACGAGAAAAAGGTCAAATTCATGGGCTAGGTGAAACTCATCCATCATCAGAAAAAAGCAGATTCCCCATTGGCATCTTTTTCTTTTCTTTTCTTTTTTTAGTCCTTTATTTCTCTCTGTCTGTCTGACACATGTAACTATTTCTTTGTACAAATGTATCATAGGCAGCCAGCCCCCACACAATGACCTTTATTACTCCCACCCAATTGAAAAACCATAGGCTTTGGGTTTTGGTATGAACCATGAAGACAAACTACTGTAATGTTGGATTTAATTTGATGGGCCCAGTTCAATTTTGAGCTGGCATAACATACTCCACTCAAGCCTTCGTCACCAAATGGAACAATTTTTTTTTTTTTTTTTTTTTTCACTTTTTCTGTGGTCAAGCTAAATTTTACTCATAGTCACACAGTGAGACAGTAGTGGGATGACATGCGGATCCAGAATTCTTGGCCATTTGTGTCGGAGAAAAAACTTTCATTTGCCAATCTTAAAAATCAGTTTTGTAGCTTCTCAACATTATTGGTTTTGTTGGTTTATGGCTCAAACGTTGGCAAAATGGACTGCTGCTTTGTCTTTGTTTGGCTTTCTTTGCTAATTAAATGGCTCAACCTTGTCTTTTTGTTTTGGCTTTGCCTACTGTGAATGACGTCTCAATTCAGCCAAAATGAGACAGAGCGAGGGAGAGAGAGAGCCATGTGTACATCAAGGGAATGAAGACCATAACTTGATCAATAGAATGAAGTTATTATTATGAAAATGAAGGCCAAATAATGGGAAAATGAGGTTCCTAAAAAGATGCATCTTACATACAAGAACTCCAGCTCACATGTACAGTGGAGGGGGAAAAAAAAACAAAAAGCGGGGGAGAAATTCTTATATGTGAAAAAAAAAAAAAAAAAAAAAAAAAAAAAAAAAAAAAAAAAGCAATAGCACCTATTATCTTCCGTATAATTCAAAAATTGATAACTAGGCACTCACTTCATATATGACCGCAAAAGGGTATTGACTGTTTTATTATTCTATATAATAATGTCCTTTATCTTCATTGTCTCTCTGTCCCATTGCTACCAGTTTGCCTCCCATCATCATCCCCTTCCCTTCTGGAGCTTTGGCCTGGATGGGTTTGGGGGTCATATTTCTGGGAAGCAAGGTAATTCAAAGCTGTAACCACGTCAGATATAGCGGGTCGCATGTTAGGCTGCTCCTGAACACACATTGCCGCAATAGCAAGACATTGATACAACCCCCTTACAGGATATTGACCTCGCATCAATGGATCGGCCATCTGCGGAAATTTCCTCCGGTCTTTGAACAAAGGCCGCGCCTGCAATGAATTCAACAAACATTCAATGTTCATAAGCCCGAAAAGGATAGCAGGCACTCAAATAAAATGATGTAACAGAACTAATGGAGCCAAGAAAAGGGCTAATTCAAAGAGGCACTAATTCTATATATGTCAGTATGAGAATGGAGATTGGGATCATTATCTTACCCACGCAACCAAGTTTTGCTCCTTGGGGCCTCTTGTCTCATCGATGGCTTTCCTGCCTGAGATGAGCTCCAAAAGAACGACCCCGAAGCTATATACATCGGATTTGAATGTAAGTTGACCTGTCATTGCATAATCTGGCGCACAGTATCCATATGTTCCCATAACCCTTGTGGAAACATGAGTCTGATCCCCACTTGGTCCTACTTTCGCCAAGCCAAAGTCAGATAGCTTCGGGTGATACCCCTCGCCGAGCAAAATGTTTGCGCACTTCAGGTCGCGGTATATGACAGGAGGGGTCATTTTATCATGCAAATACTCCAACCCTCTCGCTGCCCCTGTTGCTATCCTCATTCTTGTATTCCAATCAAGTGCTCTCCTACCAGGCGGAAGATCTGCAAGAGATAATCTAAGGATTATTATGAATGATAAAGTTTTGAGATTTGAATTTTAACCTGCAACTATAACAGAATAAGAATAACAGACAATGAGATCTCGATTCGATGAAGTTGTATACCGAACAAATGGTTTTCCAAAGATCCTAACGGCATGTATTCATAAACCAACATCCTCTGATCCTTCTCAGCACAAAAGCCAATTAATTTAACGAGATTAGGGTGTTCAGCAAGACTAAGCGTCAGTACTTCAACAACAAATTCCCTAACCCCTTGCTGTCCATTTCGGTCAAGTCGCTTGATAGCCACTTCCTACACCAAAACCAGAAAAGGAGAAAAAAAACAAAAAACAAAAAACAAAAAACTTCAATATTTTGACCAAAACAAATCAGCACACCATAATCCATAGCATATGAAAGAAATGTGTTGCATAAGGCCAAAAAACATGTTCTGCTAAAAAAGCCATCATTTGAATCAGAATAACAAGACCAACCTGATTACTTCTCTCTAAGCGACCCTTATAAACTTTGCCAAATCCTCCCTCTCCCAGAAAGCAATCCGGCCTGAAATTATCGGTCGCCGTCTGGAGCTCTGTTAAGGAAATGGACTGTGCCCGCCGGCGATTGGCCTCTTCATCCTTCAAGTTTAAGTTCTTCACGTCCAATGATAACTGGTCATCCTTGGAGATCACCTCCTTCTTCACATCCGGGTTGATTTTCGGAGCACCTAATCACATAGAAACAGAGACGAAATAAATGATCAGATAGAAAGAAAAAGAGGAGTTATTAGGCCAAAGAAAAGCGCATGAAACTACGCAGATGGTAAGATGTGACCAGATGAGATGATTTTTTATTATGTTTCTCTCAATTATGGATTTGGAAAATCGAAAAGACATTAGAATTTGGAAGAACATAGAAAAAATAGAATAAAATCAATACCAAGAACCAGAAGGAACTGGGACTATGGACTGGACCTTGCTAACCATGCATACAAACAAAAACGAATTAGTACTTGAGAGAAATCAAACAAACAAAAGCAGTAAATTTAGCAACTCAATGGGTACTAAACTAAAAGGAAATAAATAAATAAATAAACAAAGATCGAAAATTGAAACTACTTATTTAAAGCCCATTTACAACCGAAGAGCAAATTCTTGCCTTTTTCATTCTAACAGAAAGTAGAGATAAAAAAAGCACAGGAAATGATTAAGGAAAAAAGAAAAGAAAAGAACAGAAAAATAGTTTGATAAATCATGAAACGACACAACGACTAATTACACAAAGCAGTTTGAGTTAAAACCCAGAAGCAGTAAAAACAAAATTCGACAAAAGAAAAAAAAAAAGGAATTCCCCAGAAAAAGCCAAATTGGAAGAAAGCACGGCTCGGAAAGAAAAGTGAAAAGTAAGAGCCTTCAAAATTGCAGAGAAAACGACAAGAAAACCCAGGTACGTCACGAGCACCACCGACGGGAAAAAAAAAAAAGGAAAGAAAAAGAAAAAAAAAAAAAAAAAGGGGAAGGAAATCCATTCCCGATTGAGCTCCCAAAAATCACCGACGACAATCCGAAATTTCGAAAAGAGAAAAAACAACAAAATACATTTTTTACTCGAAACGTTTCGGAAACCTAATCAAAGAAAAAAGCTTGAAGAACAAACCTTGCGCCGTTTGATCGTCTGACTTTTTATTGTGGTTGACGCTTTTACTCTCCTTCTCTGATCTTTTACTCGATTTTCCGGCGCAAGGAAAGCACCCCATGACGGCGTCGTTTCGCCCTCTTCTCTTCTCTCTGGGTTTTTCCTCAGCTATATAGCAAGAACAAAGCCACAACGACGAGCTCCGAAACCGAACATGAAAAACAGAGGAAATGTGAGACCTTTGCGAAGCTAAGACACAGAACTAGAGAGAGAGAGAGAGACAGAGAGAGAGTTCTTCAATAACACTATAGCAGTTGCTTTTATTTTTCTTTGCCTTTTTTGCTTTTTTATATTTTGCGGGGCTGTATCCACTGCATTTCGAGTATATCAATAACTCCCATATCTAACCAATAAAGAAGTGCCACGTCATCAATATGAGGGCTGTCTTTGCATTGACGTTTTTTTAAGCAGCTGTAAGAGTCTGGTTGCATTTAAGACACATCGTGGAAAACGCCACGTCGTTTAAGCGGTCAGGTATTTGAAATTGGACACTTTTTTTGGGTAAGTATTTGCTTTAAGTACTAACTTGGAACAGAATATGATGGGAAAAGAAAAGGCATTGAAAATGGAAAAAGAATAATAAGAAAGTATCTATGGTGTATTTATTTCCTAGAAAGTGAAATTAGAAACAATAATATTTATTTGTATGAAACATAATTAAAATAATTTATAATTAATAAGAATTTTTTATATGAAGCAAAAATACTTTTTAAGTGAATAAATAAGAAAGAAATTGAAACAATATTAATTTCTTTTATAGTGTTCTCATGAAGAAATTTTGATATCTTTTCTTTTTCCGTGATAACATAAGTACTAAAATTGTGTGTATATTATTGTAAACTGAAACTTAATAAGACGTAAGAGTAATTTAATAGTTTATTCTAAATAATCTAAGAATTTTGAATTGATTCTTTACTCATTCTTATGTTTTAACCATTTTATTTCATGAAAAATACATTAAAAAAACAGAGAGAACATGCTTCTATTTCTCATCCCAATTGAAATGTACTACGACTTCTTAAAAAAACAAGAAAAAAAAAAGTGAGAAACAAATTGTTCTCTTTTATTTTTATTTTTATTTTTTATTTTTTATTTTTTTTAGAACTTAGAAATAAAACAGGTTTAATTATAGGGAAGATTCCTACCGAAGAAAAGCGAAGGCAAAAAAAACGTTATTATTGTCTTGTCTTTTACGTGGCCGATCGACCACTCGCTTGCTGACGTGGCGCAATCTGATTGTTGTACGGCGATTCTTGGATGCGAGCTTGCAAGCTTTGTTCTTTTCTTCCGTAACCAAGATTTTCCTCCTCCTTTCTTCCCAATTTTTATTATTATTATACTAATTAATTTAATTAAAAAACAATTTTTCTGTTAAAAAAAAAAACAATTTTTGTCTCGTTTTGTCTCTACCCGCCGTGACGAACACATCATGATGCGCCGCTGGTGGCCGTCCGATAAGGTCAACGTTTGAAAAAGGTAGGTCCCGCCTCGCTGAGGCCTTTTGTGAGACTGGGACCCACTTGCCGAAACGCGTCGCCTATTGAAGGCCTTATTCTTTTCTCATTGATTTTTCACTCATATATTTTAACTGTTTAACTAAAATCGAAGTTTGAGCACTTTGATCCACGCGCACAACAACTCCTCCCACCATAACTCCTAAAGTTAAGTAGCTGTAGAACAATAAATTGTTGGAATAAAAAAAGAGATTAAAACAATTAATTAAAAACATTTTTTGACCTTTTTTTTAGGGAAGCAAAAAAAATCAGTCGTGTTGAATGCGTTTAATTAGTATATTCGTGTCATGATTCAAATTATAATTTATAATTCATTATAATATTTTTTTACATAAAAAATATACGTAAATTAAAAATAATTTTAAATTATAATTTTAAATTCATAAACAAACATCTATTAATCTTGGAATATGGTATTGACCGCAGAAGATCACAGCTGGTTTTAAATTTGAACGTGTGAAGTTAGAAGGGAAACGCGCTGTTTCATTAGCTCGGTTCAACAAGTTCTAAAGGCCACTTAGGAAAATCTATGGAAGCCTCTTTATATATTCTGTCAGATTCTCGGGAATATAAACGTGTATATTAATTATTTTATAAGACAAAAATGTGAATTTTTGTCATTTTTTTCATTTTTTAAGGCGTGTTCTTTTAAAATTTAACTTGAGTATAATTTTTAAGTTGAATTTAAATTATAATTTGAGTTAAACTTGTAACTTGAGTTTGTGTTTAGTTGTATACATTTGAGTTATGGTTTGATATAAGAATCTTTTAGAGTTTATCTTTGAGTAAGTCAAAACTTAAATTTGTATTTAGATAGTATTTTAATAAAAACTCAATGCTGATGAAAAATTTTAATAGGGTATATGAGTCGAGTTTTATTCGTCTTTTCGTTGTCAATGCATAGAAAATAAAATCATCTCAATCAGAACTAAAATGAAAAAGTTATAGCATTTTAAAAAATAGAAAAAATATTATTCATTAATTTGAGTTCGAGTTTCTGAACTCGAGTTGAAGGGAAAACTTGAACTCAAGTTTTAGTCCTAAACTCGAGTTTAAATTCAAATTTAAACTTAAAAGAACATAAACTCAAATAAAATTATAACTTAAATTATTATTTTTTTAAATTTTTCACTCAAAAAAAAATAAGCATTAATCTTCTTTATCTTCATTTATGAGTGTAAAAGGGAACTCAAATAAAATTATAATTTAAATTATTATTTTTTTAAATTTTTCACTCAAAAAAAATAAGCATTAATCTTCTTTATCTTCATTTATGAGTGTAAAAGGTTTTAGCTAAAAGTTTCTCCTAATAGTTCTTTCTTACAAATGAATAAATAAATTAAGTCCTCCTGACAGTTGTACTTCATTAAATTAGTGATAATGTGATCATTCTCGGCTATGAAAGGGTGAAATTTTATTATTTTTCTTTAAAAGCTTCCACCATTAATTGTAGAAATGTTTGCTTTTAGCAATATTATTGTTGTCTGAGTTACATCAATAAAAAGGTGGAAAAAAACAATATTGACATTGTTGTGATTATTTCCTTATTCCTTCTATATTCCAACCACGGCTGTAAATTTGTAATCTTGCTCTTTTATTTATAGTGCAAACAAATTCTAAATTGTTGGATTAGAACTGTCATTCTTTTTCATTCCATTGAAAAAAAGGTCGTTTCATATTATAATTTTGGTTGACATTGTGTAGAGGTAGTTCATTTAATGATACGTTTGTTTTTTTTTTCCTTTCATAATGACAAATATGACTGTTAAAAATTTAGCATTGCTTCTAAAAACTCAAAGTTCTTTACTTTTATTGTATTTAACGTCTCAGAAACTTTCACATTGAGATGTCAAATAGGTCGGGCCGTTCATGGATGGTCCGGCCCAGTCCGTAACAGTGCCAAGTTCAGCACAGCCCAGAACTGTACTGTTACGGGCCGTACTAGCCCGACACATTAGACGAACTAGGGCAGGGCCTCGACTTCCCAGCCCGCGGCCCAGGCCCGGCCCTAGCCCGTTAAGGACGTGATTTGGCCATGATTAGGCCTAAGCCCTTATTCGGCCCAAGCCCGTGTTCGGACCAAGCCCTGATTCGGCCAAGCCCGTGTTCAGCCCGGGCCAAGCACGTGTTCAGCCCGCGAAGCACGCCTCAATGTGACTGTTGGGCCTAACGGTCACATTGTGGAAAATGGCCAAAAATTCTCTATAAATACCCCTAAATCTCACACAACATTCACCACAACAATTCATTCTCAACTCCTCATCTCACTCTCATTTTATCTCTCATCTTTTCTCTTTGATATTGATTCTAAGCTTTTCTCTCTTGATTCCTCATTTTCTTGCTCTTTAATTTACAAATTTCAATCAATTTGAAGAAATCCTGGAAAAAGAAAGGTATTTTACTTATCAATTTTGTTACATAACATTGTATTACTCAAGTTTATTTATCTTGTTTATTGTTTATAAATAAGTGAATTAACATTAGTTTCTGTTTTTGTTTTCAGAAAATGGTTGCATCAAATTTTCATGCTTTCCCTGTGCTCCCTAAGCTTGGTGATGAACTATTTTACGAGGATGAAATATTGATGCACAACTCCAACCCTACTAAATTGGAAATTGTTCCAGTTGATAATCAATCGGTGCACAACAAGGAAGTTGGAGAACGTGGCAGAAAAAAAATACCGCGAACTGCTCTCGCATGGTAACATTTTACAAAGGAGCCCCGACCAAATTCAAAAAACAGGTGAAATGGAAAATCGTGCGATATGTAAATATTGTAAAAAATATTTTTCTAATAAAAAGGGTGGGGGTACTGGCCATCTTGATAGACATTAGAAATCATGTCTACCATTGCTCCAAGGTAGTAGTGTGGACTCCCGCCAACAAACACTGTCACTCACATCACAAGGTTTGTAAAATTTTACATACGATGCACAACGTGCCCGTAAGGCACTAGATAAATTTTTAGCTAGTGCTGAATTACCTCTGTCTTTTACAGATGATACAGCATTTGAAGAATTCATACAAACGGCATTCTGCCCACAATTTAAACAGGTAAGTAGAAACACAACTCGATCTGATTGCATGAAAGTTTTTTATGCAATGAAACAATCTCTAGTTGATAATTTTATGTCTTTTAATGCTACAATATCTTGTACTTCTGATCTTTGGGACAGGTGCAATAAAACTAGATATTTATGCGCCACGGCGCATTATGTTGACGATGAATGAGTTTTACAAAAGAGAATAATAGGTTTTCGTTTAATGTCCATTTCCTCATAACGCAACTGCTATCTTTTCAATTATAATGGAAATTTTTAATTTTTATAGGATAGAAGATAAAGTTTTAACAATTACTTTTGATAATGCGTCAGCTAACACAGCTGCAATTAACATGTTTAAACTTAATTTGAAACCACCTTTTGGTGGTGAAATTTTCCATCAACGATGTGCATGTCACATTATAAATTTAGTAGTACAAGCAGGAATTAAACAGATTTCCTCTCATTTAACAAATATTAGAGAATTTTTATCCTTCATATATAGTTCTGGAGCTCAGCTCTAAGAATTTTGATAATATTGCAGGAACAGTCAAATGCGCCCAAGAAAGTTTCTAACTGATGTGAGACATAAGTAGAACTCCACCTACTTAATGATGAAGACTGCAATTCTGTATCAACATATCATCACAATGTACATGAACAGTAAGCATAGTAAGCATTTAATTTTTGAT